GTAACTGGAAGATGGTTTTATGTTTTGTTTGTTTGTCTAAAAATAAAAATCTCTTAAATTTTTTTTAAAAAGTGAATTAAATTAAAACTAAGCAAGAGGGAGAGGAGGGTGTTCTCTATGCCATTACTGATCTCTAACATGTCACACTCCTAATTAGGGCCCCAGGCTACTTGCCACAGCTGTATCGTAAAGGCCGTTTGGAAGGTCCAAAGGGTGGGAGCAGATTTGACCTTGGCAAGGAGGGTGGGGTGGGGGGAATGTTCCAGAGGGTGTGAGCCAAGGTAGTAAAGGCCTTTTGGACCCTCCAAGCCAAAATTCCTTGCCTCGCGGGGTCTGCAGCATGGCCCTTCTGCGGGCATCAATGGGGCAGGCTAATTCCATTAGGGTGAGACGGTTTCTCAGGCCGCTTGGAGCCACGCCTACCTTTGTAACCTGGACGACCAATTTTCACAAATTTCTTCACTTCCACCTTCACCTTTTCTGGTGCAGGCTGAGCTGGGGCCTCTTTGGCTTCTTTGGCAGCTCTTCGAGCTCTGTAAATGAAAGGAAGGGGGAATTATCAAACTGCACTGAGAAAAGGGAAGGGGGGGATTTCTTTTACAGAGTTCTCCACCATTGGGGGAACGATAAATATTTAACACCTGTGCATGAGGTCTTTAAAATTATTCCTGCACAAGTCATGCTGCGCTCAGGTCTCGAACCCCACTCTGTCAGCTTGCCAGCTCACAAGCTCAGCATCTTTACCTGCTGAGCCACTGTGCCCCCTTGGAAAAAAAAATACTACTGGTAAGTAAAGGTAAACGTTCCCCTTGAACATATGTGCTGGTCATTTCCGACTCTAGGGGGCGGTGCTCATCTCCATTTGAAAGCCAAAGAGCCAGTGCTGTCCAAAGATGTCTCTGTGGTCATGTGGCCGGCATGACTAAACGCCGAAGGTGCACAGAATGAACGCTGTTCCCTTCCCACCAAAGATGGTCCCTATTTTTCTACTTGCATTTTTACGTGCTTTTGAACTGCTAGGTTGGCAAAAGCTGGGACAAGTAACGGGAGCTCACTCCGTTACGTAGCGCTAGGGATTTGAACCACTGAACCGCCAACCTTTCTGAATGATCTCAGTGTCTTAGCCACTGAGCCACCAGAGGGTAGCCACCGGTAGTCTAGTATAAACCCAAATGGTCATGTAAAGTCAATTTATATTGGTCTCATCACTTTATTAGCAACACTTGGAGACCTACATGAAATAGGTAGGTCTCCAAATGTTGAAATATCCGAGGCTGCTTAGAACAACTGCAGAATAACAAGAAGCAACAAGTGCTCTGGCTTGGTTCTCCCTCCATATAAACAAAACTGTCCAAATTGCTTTTAACTATACTTACTAGGGACGCTTCTGAGATCAAATAAACTTTCATGTAAAGCTTTAACTGTGAAACTGGCCTTCAGCTGGAGCCTTCAGACGATGCACCCACATACACCTAGTGACACCCAATCTTGAGAAAATCAGACACACTGTCAGCCAAAGCCCTCAAGGGTACTCCTGAGACAGTTTCTTATCAGGTGGAGGAAGGCTGACGGATGTCATGAAAAACGCTACATCCCAGACTGGCGCAAGGCTGCAGAAAGACAATTGTGTCTTTGTGACTAGCGGATTTTTAGCTGATTCCCAAGATGCTCTTTGCTCTTGCAGAGCGTATAGGTTTTTGGCCTATGCAAGGATAGAGGAACAGGAGGGAGAGGTTTTGATAAAAGAAAGAAAAGAGGTGCTTACGAGTAGCAACTTACAAGTTGGTCTGATGTTTTTTCCCCTGGGTGTGTGCCAAGTAGCTTCCCTGTGGGATAAGAAGAAAGGGTGGGGGACATTAGTTAAATTCTGGGCCAAGCCTGACTGCCCCAAGGATAGACAGAGCTGGGAGGGAATCAGCAAAGTCAAGCAGCCTCAAATCTCCAGCTCAGCTTCAACTCTGCACTGTCAAGGGGCCAAGCGTGTTTTTAAAAAAGGTTTCAATTACAGTAAATGGGCTATTTATTCAGACTGCTGAAAATGCTTAGCTGAACATTTTCTGCTCTTTGTTGGCAGCAATTTTCAGAGTTTTAGATGAGTGTCTGGAGATGCTGGAGATGCCAGATGTTGTAAATCTTTTATATGGAAAGGAAATATTCGGCTATAGCTTTTTAAAGAGAAGCTGACTCGATACAATATGCTCGAAATGAGTTAACAAAACATAATTCCTGTAGACATCACCTGCATTGCAAAAACAAACTATAGTATGGGTTAATATGATGGTCTGGTTCTCACACTGAGCTGAGAGCATTTGCTGGGTTCCCACCTGCTAAACCATCTGTAAACAATAAGGTTCCCGACCTGTTATAGCCAATTGTGGGAACACAGGCTAATAGTCTAGTTCCTGTGGTTTTGAGGAGCAGGATTTAAACAGATTTGGAGGAAGCTGCTTCATATCCATATGATTTATTTGTTATGCACCATCAAAACAAAGCATGATTCAAAACATTTTGCAAAACGATCAACAAATGCAGCCATAACAGTTAAAATGTAAATTAAACAACTAATCAAGGTTATTAAAAATACAAGGATGCAAGGATAACGACATCCAGCGTGGTTTAGTGGTTAACACACCAGACTAGAAAGTGGGAGACTGTTAATTCAAATCCTGCCTTGGCCATGAAAGCCAGCTGGGTAACATTGAGCCTGTCACCCACTTTCAGCTCAGCCCACTTCACAGGATGGTTGTTATGGAGAAAATAGGAGGACGATGATGTGTGGGATATTTTTGCCATCTCAGGTTGTTTGAAAAAATAGTAAAGGTGGGATACAAATAAATAAATATAATAAAAGAATTAGCAAAGCCAAATAAAACAATATCAATAATTAAACCAAAGAGCAGGTTTTAGAAGGTCAGAAAGATTGCAACACGATTCAATTCTTCCAGAAATACTTGTGCTGAGCTTGGGGCATTTATAATAACGTATTGCTATGTCACAACATTCCTTAGCGGACAAAGTGCATTTGCAAAAATAAGTCCTCACCTCATTGTTGTGCAGCGTTAGACAGAGTTTGCATTCATAGGACCCCAAGTGGTTTTTCATAAAATAGGGATCCTGTTGAGAACAAAAATAAGAGTTAAGTCTCAGTTTAGGCAGTACAGAAAGCACACATGTACCACACCCAGGATGTAGACTTCACACACACACACACACACACACACACACACACACACACACATATTTGTGTGTAAAAANGAGAATGAGGTGGCTGGATGGAGTCCCTGAAGCAGTCGGCCTGAGCTTAAATAGACTCCAGGGGATGGTAGAAGACAGGAAGGCCTGGAGGAACGTTGTCCATGGGGTCGCGATGGGTTGGACACAACTTTGCAACTAACATCAGCAATCTTAGATTTCTGCTTCATTCCATTCCCCTTTCTTTCCTTTATGAAACTGAAAGCCCTCAAACCAAATCCCTTCCCAGAAGCACTTACGTTTCCACCACTAAATCTACCCTTTTGTATGTCCCAAGAACCTCAACAAAAGAGGCCAGACTAGAACATTACCTTGAAAGCGATGGTCTCGTAGGGTTCTGCTGCCATCAAAAGGTATTGCCAACGCCGGTCGGGAGGCTCAATTCTCTGCTCGTAGGCTGACATAAAGCGGTGCCTCGGCATGATAGTTTCAGCAATCTCCGGGTAATCGATCTGTGTGGTGCAAAGCCAGAAGAACAAGAAGTTGGAATTGCCGTTTAAATCCAACAAATCCAACTGCCTGATCATATGGATAACAGCCGAGGACAAAAAGAAGGGGAGGGACAGAAAGAGCAGGACTGTTCTATGCTCAGTTTCACAAATAGATACTCAATAGTTGGGGGAACCAATAGGAAAAAAATATTCGTAACTCAGGCCTAAACTGCGGGGTTCCTGGTGCTCACTGAGCTTGACTGTTCTCCTGAATGACAGAGAACAGAACAGAACAGAATTAGAATTAGAATAGAATAAAAAATTAGAATAGAATAGAATTAGAATAGAATATAATTAGAATAGAAAATTAGAATAGAATAAGAATAGAATAGAAAATTAGAATAGAATAATAGAATAGAATTAGAATAGAAAATTAGAATAGAATGGAATAGAATGGAAGGGAAGAGAATTCTTTATTGGCCAAGTGTGATTGGACACACAAGGAATTTGTCTTTGGTGCATATGCTCTCAGTGTACAAAAATAAAAATAAAAATAAAATAGAATACTTTAGACCAGTGTTTTTCAACCACTGTGCCGTGGCACACTAGTGTGCCGTGACATAGTGTAAGGTGTGCCGTGGGAGAATTACT